AGTCTTGTGGCTTTGTCGCAGTTGGAAAGCATGAGGAAAACATGCACGAATTGAAAATGCCGACAAAATTAACGAATCAACTCCACAACAAGCCCGGATGTATATGCGTTATTTTCTTGTTATATTTGGTCATATAATTTATGCATGACAGGTTTTTCTGTGAAAGACTGCATTGTTGAGCGATGGAGTGTAGACTAACAAAGTCTGGACTTTGTTTTTTTTCACAAATTATTTATATCAGAAGATACTGCAAAACCGAGCCTAGACAGAAATTGTGCAAGATGAAAAAAAAAATCTCCAACTTTGCCAGTATGGTAGAGAGCATCGGAGAGATTTGAATTGTAAAATAAATTATTATTTCCTGTATTGTTGTAAACTATTTTATTAATATGCAATATTAAAATTATTACAGCATTATTAAAAACGAAAACGTTAATATGTCGTATTTAGGTGCAGTAGCACAATAATATTATGCTTCAGGCGTGCATCTCTTTCTTGGGTGACCTTTTCGTGGCTTCTTACACACAAAGCACATCGGGGGTATTCTTGTTGTCTTCGGTGTCACGATAGATCCGGTTACGAACTGCCCCGATGAATATGACGGCCCTTCTTGGTGTTCGAATCTGTCTACCATTTTCAGGTGTTTGTATTTGTTAAACTTTCTGCGTTGTTTTGTCGAACTGGTAGATTTTGCCTCACAGTCGCGTATTCGTTCTTTGTCTATGGAGCGCCACACATGTCGACTAAATTTGGAGACTGAAAGGTTGAGCGCTTCGTAAAGTCGACAGTTAAACTTTTCTATGCCGCTGTTAAAGTGTGCCACTGCCATACAAATGCCAACGTTAATACTAGACACTCCGTGGTCCTGCTCCTTTAGCACTAAATTCCATATCATATGATGCAATGACTCATTTGAGTTTTGCATCAAATACATTTCAGTGCCCTTGAGCAGATTCACGTTCGCCAAGGCGTCAATTTCCGGCTGAAGCACTTCAACGACAGCTTTGGAGAATGGTTGTTTTATTGGCCGATAAGTGTTCTTTCCGGTTACCAGGTCTAATTGGTATTTACACCATGACTCGACTCGGCACACGTAGGGCAGTGTTGATGTCTTGGTGATTCATACGTACTACTATAGTGGGCAAGTATTGCTTTGGTGTTTTCGCTCATCGCCTCTGCATTCCCTGAAAAACAACCCAAAGATTGAATATTGTTACATCGTAGGGAACGTATGATGTGATAATATGCTGTCATTGTGTGTACACTATTTCAGGAATGTAGTCATGTGACTAAATTCACGACGTGCTGGTACCCTTGTTATGTCGTAAAGCCATTCCGTAAAATGTTTGGATGGAATTTATAACTGATTTCGTCAAACACCCTAGACCAGTCAGGCCCTTTCCATCTGAAAGTTTCTCTCCTAAAACACAAACAAACCACAGAGAAATATGCACCATCAATTCGTCTTATTGGCTATCCTAGTGAAGTATCAGATATGAATTTAAAAACAGTACTACTCCTATACCACCATCTCATTTTAAATAAAACAAGTCATTGAAAATGACACAGTCCCCGTTAAGTTCTCTTTGTGCTCATCATATTAAAGCGGAGGGGCTGTCGCAAGCGTGTCCTTGAAACTTGAGTTACAAGTGGCATATACAACAGATTGTTTATTTACATCAAAACATGTGTTTCGTGTCATAGTAATATGGCCAAAATAAAAAAAGCCGTTATTCGGCCATCTTTGATCTGATTATGAAACTACAGATATGTATGATGTATGTGCCAAATACGAATGAAAATGGTACATAAATTGTGGAAATATAGTAGTAAGGCCAAAAAGTCAGATGGCTGTCAATCGGCCATCCTTGACCGGATTTTGAAACAAATTGTCATGGACATGCATCCTAGCATGTATAAAGTACATGTATGTGCCAAATTTGAATGAAAACTGACCGAGCACGTCCAAGATACCGCATAAAAAAACAAAAACAAGATGCCTGCCAGTCGACCATCTTTGATCCAATTGCGAAATAAATCGTCATGGACGTGTATCCTAACATGTATAATCTATGTACCAAGTTTGAATGACAACTGACGAAGCATGTCCAAAATACAACATTTTCAAAAAACAAGATGGCTGCAAGTCGGCCATTTTGAATCGAATCGCTAAACCACTGCATGTGCATATGCCCCACATAAGGTACTAGGCACATGCGAAGAATGAACGGAATCGGTCCACAGGATTCTGAAATATGACGTTGGATAGACTTACGCACGGACAGACGGACAGACGGACACACGGACGGTCGGACGGACAGACTCAGGAACTCATGGACAGTCTGGGACATGTATCCTAACATGTATGATCTATGTACTCAATTTGAATGAAAACTGACAAAGCATGTCCAAAATACGACATTTTCAAAAAACAAGATGGCTGCCAGTCGGCCATCTTTGATCCAATTGTGAAATAAATCATCATGGACATGTATCCTAACATGTATGATCTATGTACTCAATTTGAATGAAAACTGACAAAGCATGTCCAAAATACGACATTTTCAAAAAACAAGATGGCTGCCAGTCGGCCATCTTTGATCCAATTGTGAAATAAATCATCATGGACATGTATCCTAACATGTATAATCTATGTACCAAGTTTGAATGAAAACTGACAAAGCATGTACAAAATACAACATTTTCAAAAAACAAGATGGCTGCCAGTCGGCCATTTTGAATCGAATCGCTAAACCACTGCATGTGCATATGTCCCACATAAAGTACTAGGCACATGCAAAGAATGAACTTAATCGGTCCAAGGGATTCTGAGATACGACTCCGGAAGGACACACGGACGCACGGACGCACGAAGACCGAATTATAAGTCCCCGTTTTCGGACTTCGTCCGAACGGGGACTAATAATTACTAGTAGTTCATACCTTTATGCCTCTCCACCAGCATACGAAGTCTCGTCTCGTCCCCGTCACCTACAAATGTTGTATACCTAAGAACAAAATAACAGTTTTTTTTCACAATTCACGACACTGTGGTACATCGACTAAAACACGTATGATACATTGTAATTTTTACCTGAAATTATACTTTTCTAGGGACCTCTCAAATATAGTTCCATAAGATTCCATCTGTTTCGAAGATTCTTCGTAATTCGCTTGACACTTGGGCTCGTGATTTAGATACCATTCCATTTCTCACATTCACTGCAATGATTCACCATAACAAAAAAACACAAACATAACGATGACACACAATAATATAATTATTAGAAAATAATTACGACACAAACACAGTTTAAATAAAGTGTTTCCACAGAGCACTAAATCAACCCAAGTCTCACGAAACATACGTGTTTTCATTGCGATCATTCGTCTGGTGTTGGGTAAACTGACTATAAATAATTTCCATTTTTCACACACAACACAAACAGGCGAAAAATCAAAGGACTGGTTTTCAATGTGATAATGAAGCATTTTGTACATACATTATGGCGATAAGGCACTTACCCGTGTCTATGGATATTGCCGTCACGAGTCCTCCTTTTGCTGTGAAACCTCTTGAACTCCACAAACCATCTACGGAGACAGCTATATCTATTGGGTTTTCTAAATCCTCTTCCTCCTCTAAACCAAGTTTCAGCTGCCGGATTTCTTCAGCAGCATCTTGAAACTCTTCCTCAAGCTTTGCCCTTGCCATTTCTAAAATGCTTTCAACGTGTTTTTTGTAACATGTTCCAGAAATCGGAGACGGCAAACCCATGTAACTGCTGAATTTTTTCAGTGCACGACGTCCCTTTCCTATTCCTGTCGATTAACGTTGAAAATGTGGTCGTTTTTTGGGGAACTTGGGAAAGTTTCTGACAGACGGCTGCAGCTAGAACATTGAAAGAACAAATTGCTGCCCCAGCCGTGTCGAGAAGTTGTGTCTTCGACAAGACGCATGTGCCCCTCGTTGCATCCGCTGCACACAGAAACGGTACTGCTGGCCTTATTTATGTGCCTGATATCAATGAGCAACAGATTTCCCGTACTTGCTTCCTCGTCGTCGTCGGATGTATCGGTGTCGTCATCAGTAAGGTAATTAAATATTTTTCCGCTGGGGGCGGATAATTCAACCACATCGTTGAATTCAAACCACTCGGGTGGTTGGTTATAATAAGACCCCGCACCACTGAGTCTCAGAATTTTCTTTGCCTCGTCTGTTATTGATGTCTTCGCTCTCCTTCTTTTCCTTGGCATTGCATTCGTAAATTGGTTAGTAAAATATTATGACACGAAATAAAAAAAGCAATTTAAAAGAATGTTGTGCAAAGTTATGAGTGTGTTTCTCAAACGAAGTCTAGACTGATAATAATGCTGACAATGTAAGCTAGATAAACACCCGTTATATCAGAATCGTCAACAACAGAGTATGCACATAAGATGTTATCACGTAATCAGTCCTAAACGTAGGCATTATGCAAATATCCGCGAAACGGCAGCCGTAGTTATTTGTGCTAGCATTTGAAACGCCAATTTGAGCAGCGTCTTACCCGAATTTTGATATTTTGAAAAGCTGGGATAATGCCAAGGTCTGAAGTAAACGTTTTTTCGATTTTTGAAAAATCAAGAAAAAAACGAACATTTCCCTTCTCGCTACCTTAAGTAAAGTTTGGGAGGATAATAATGACAGAATGCCATTGCTAAGTGCCATGACATTTGTGGGGTATGACTATGAGAATTATTCTGCCACAGAAGTCATATTCATTATTGTGATAAAAGGGTGGAGGTAGAGGGGGTATATTTAAAAGAGCGACAATGACATTTGCATAAAGTTATCGCTGTAAACACCTTTTAATTAATTTAATTAACAGTGAAGGTAATTAATTGTTAATGGAAAGAGTGCACAGACACACTGTTACACAATTACTTCTAGCAGTTAATCAATAATATCAACGAACATTTCTATCTTGTATCAGCATTAGCCAATTAGTACTACTCACCATATTTCTAGTTCAGGTCCTAACCTATATCGGGCTCCTTTCTCTTTAGATGCTGCAATACCTGTAATGACAGAGTCAAAACATGAAATGAAGAGTTTAATGTCTTAGCTAACACTATGATATCTATTAATGCTCACAATAGAACAAAACATAACATTAGAACACATAAGATTACACTGAGATAAGCCATAGCTGAGTCTTGGTTTGATGATGCAAACACAGGAGGGATTGAACTTAATGGAGTCAATTGCCTCAATGGCTAAAGTTCATTTAGATGGATTACTAAGCAAAATCTAAATATGTACATATAGTAGCGTTAAAACTAAGATAGCTTAAAGCTAGCAGGGGTTTTTCTAAAAAAAATGAATAAGAGGTACCAGGTAGCATGGTGTATCTATCGCCAATGAAATATTTTTGGAGTAATTTTTAGTGTATTTGGTGTCCCCAGACACATTGTCAGCTGGTGTTGCTGGGAAGTTTTCATGGTGAAAAATATATTTGAGAAAGATTTCATGTTGTACAGAAGTGAGCGGCTCATGAAATATCTTTATGACTTGAAAGTTCAATCGGCAATTCGGTAAGAGAGCGCCAGCTGAGAGTATCAGGGCACTGCGCCCCTGTTCCCCGGTTTAGAAAAAAAACTGGCTAGCAAACATAACGTTACACTTGAACTCTACTGTAAAATTATGTTTGAATGGTATCGTAGCACTTACTTTTTAAAATTCTCTGCAAGTTTCCTTCAAAGTCCATTGCCCATTGATTCAGACAGCACGTAGCTAAAGTAACTTTGCGTCCCATCTTTCTGTGAAGATTTGATCTAAAAAACAATACACAAGAGAAATGTATTCTGAAATTGCTGGTCAAATAATGTGTATGAGTATCGGTAAATCTTGAGTAAGAATAATTTGAATACAGCATTTTAACTTAAAATTTGTTTTTATCAAAAATTTAGTGAAAATTGAAACTGCTTATGAAACACGAAATAGTCTCTTCAGCTAAAATAAAGTAATTTACGTTAGAAGCCTACTCATAAATGCAAAAACCCAGAATTTATTCTTATTGCAATAAATTGTACTTTCGGGCAATATTAGGGTATTGACTTAAAAGAAGTTCAGGGTCACAAGCATAATTTTCAAGAAAAGTATAGTTGTATTTTAGTGGATAATGGTCATTTTGTCAGTATTACATGTATAACGCTTTTACAATAGATGCCTATTACTACGGCAGAGATATTATGTCATATCTCAAATTGTAGCTTGGTGACTGAAAAAATTACATAGTGTGAATGATTGAGTACTTTTGTTGTTAAAAAATTTGAGTTTTAAAAAGCGTCAAAATATGCAATTTTTCCTTAACATTGTGCTCTATGGAATTGTTCTAAAAATAGAGATTTTTGAAAATATTAGAACAAGTTTCTCAAAATACCTAACTGTAACACACAAAAGAATGCTATTTAGTGGTGCCATGGGACAATAGCTCCATGATTTTACATCATAAGCCAATAAACATTGTCATTCGATTTAATGGCCAACTTTTTCAAAAATTATGAGTAGGCTTCTACCATAAAGTAGATCTTCCAGCAAAAAAAAAAAATGTAGTATTAGCCACTGTTGTTGAGACTATTATTGCACTTAGTATGTCGGTGTTGGCTTTCTTATTATCTTTAGTTTCATAACACACATGCAACCTTTTATTTGTGTAATATAAAGTAAATAAGTACACAATAAAGACAAATACATTATAATACATAATAAAACAATACAAAAAATATAGATATATACAGATGCTTTAATACAAGCTGCATCCCCTCTCTACCACTGAACAATTTCAGGATTTTTTCTATTTCTTTGCCAGTTTGTAATAATAATAATATAGTTTTATTAAAGCGTGGTGGTTGTCGCGCTGTGCATGTGCGACATTTGTGTTGATAAATATTGATTTTCCCACAATACAATGCACTCTCCAAATGGAAATCGCAAGTATGAGGTTTGACCTGGGCACGACTTGCACGGATCACCGCCGGTGACTCCTTTGATACCTTCCAATCACCTAAAAACGTCTCAGTTTGTATTCGTTGATCTATGAAACAGTCAAAGTCAACATCTTTGTTTATATGAGACCCACATATCTCGCACATGCGTGGCGCGATGACTACCGCCCTTTAAACTATAATGAAATTACAAATTCATTTTTGGCTGAAAGTAATAAAAGGAAAGGTAACAAGTAAAATACTGAACGTTAAAATAACATAGGATTAGGTAGTAAAAATGTTGTGTTTTTCAAAACACACTTTACGATAGCATGTCACGTGTCTAATTAGTTTAGGATTAGTATTAATTAATAAGAATGGTGAACTTATCGATATTGTTTTCAGCCTATGTTAATATTTTCGTTTAGTGTATTTTGTAATTCACAGTTTCCTTGTGGTGTGTTTAATCTATATACTAATATTTACTTTGAGCTCATACACAAATCTAAATATACAGTCAAGTGCTTTATAGGATTTATAATTAGCATTAGAATTTCTAGAAATGCTGTATTTGTTTCCCGATTTTGTGATAATCTTGCAAATAACAGATCTTAAACGCATACCCTTGCATACCCTTATTTTATAAATCCTTGGTAAAATAATATTTATAAAATATGTATTTTTATAAATCGCGTAAAATCTAGTGTTTAGCCTCAGACGGGTTAATAAAAGTGCGTTTAGTTCTTTGACGAATCAGTCAGTCACTTAATTGACATTCACTCGACGGACTTTGCTCTGACCTACCCCCAAATTGTTGTTTGGGGAACAGTTTTATTCGACACGTTTACATCAACCTACGTTATATTAACATGTAGAATATCACATCAAAATTACCTGAAATATCTTTGATTTCACTCTGCGGCAACACCTCCCTGAACCGATCGACTGTGTTGCTATTTCGAGAAGCAGGTAAAACATGGCCACTCTAGGTGGCGCTGTACTCTGCATCAGACCACCTAAGTTACAGTTAACATTAATTTCTGTTATAATGACGGCTAATGTGTTATATTTACACTACAGGTACAGGTGAGAAATCCCTACTTAGCACTTCATTTTTTAGGCATTCATATACAGAAAGTATAATGTGGAAATTTATAGTATAAAACTTTATATTATCATTCACTAAGATAGGAGGTCTCACAAGATGGCTGCGCCTTTCGAAATAAACGCCGGGTAAAATCTAGGCACTTCTTGGTGATAGCAGATCCTCAGTAAGTGAATCTAAATAAGTACGGGCATAATTATGATGGATGTACATGTAATGATCAGATCGGGCACCTTAAGTTTATTCGCCGGTTCCTGCTGTACCCCCCTCCCAAATATCACACAACAACAAAATCTTTCATTTTGATAGTAAGCTGTACATGACGAGTAAGCCGCTTTTAGAGGTATGATAAAAACTCTTGAACTCTGGGGTGCTGTATGAAAACTACAGTATATCACGTTTTCTACTGAGTGTTGAACAAGTTGAACCATATCGTTGTATGAGCTAGAATGTCAAGCTACCTAACCAGTCGTGGCCACCAATATGAGTATTTTTGTTGATGTACTTGGAAAATATTGAATATATAAAAAAATGCTTGTTCACATTCAATGATGGACAGTGAATCAACAGTAAAGTCAATTTCTTGTGTTTTTGATATGGTTTAATGCCCTGTTTTTCATTTTTTCAAAGATATTTAAAATATAGTTCATCAAATATTACAGTTACAGTAATAAGGGGAATCTTGCAACCAAATCAGATAGATTTGTACTACAAGGACCGGAAAATCAAAGAGTTGTGCTACTTCAGGACGTAAAATATATCCCATAAATGCAGCACCTTCATTTAAGTGTGTGATCCAGAGTAACCTCTTTCTGGGTGAAAAAACAATTACACATTTTAGGCAAGATAGTAAATTCAAGCAATTTTCATGTTTAATCATAGTTAATTTTTTTTGTGTGGAACAATATCATATGCCTTCATGGATTATTGTATAAAAATAAATTGTATCATCTGAATTCCCCAATAATTTGCAAAAATCATAAGTACATTTATAGCTACCGGTATTTGTCTTTGTTTTAACTTTTTACCAGAGAAACTGCAAAAACACCATTTTGATCTTGTGAGGGAAGTTTAGGTTTTGAGAACAACTGTTACACCATACATGTATAAAGTAAAATATTGTTGCAAAATTCAAGGGAATCTGGTCATTTGTTTGAATGGTAGTGCACTACATTGTTTACTCAAAACACAAACCCCATAAAACTTAAATTCCTTCAAGTTCTGAAAATAAAATATTTTTCCGTAACAGCAAGGTAATGCATAACAACAAGGCATGCACAGCAAAACTGGATAAATACGCCAAGTTAACGGACACTATGTGACATTAATTTTAGGCCAGGTCTCCTGACACATTAACAGCAGAAAATACAGAGAAAGTGATTGGTGAATGTTTAATGTATTTAATAAACAATCAATTTATTCTAATAATGTGAGAAATGTTTTTTTTTTTTTCAGTGACTGACAGGGATTACCATGACAACCCGAAAGAAGCCAAAACGCAAAACGTTTACATTTCAGAATCATTCATGTATCGTTAATGATGCACGAGGCAGTCTTAAGTTCGTCGGTGCAAAACACGTCACAAAGAAAACCATGACTGGGCTTAATGAGTTTCGCAAGCAGGGTATAATGTGTGATGTTGTACTCAAGGTTGATAACTATGAAATACCAGCACATAGAACTGTACTTGCTGTACATAGTGAATACTTTCGTGCTATGTTCACCACTGGAATGGTTGAAAGCAGAGAAAAAGAAATTGACATCCAAGGCATCGAAAACAAATCCCTTGAAACACTCATTGGTTACATGTACACTGGTAGTTTGGATGTTACCAAGGAGACTGTACAGGACTTATTGACAGCAGCATGCATGCTACAAGTGGAAGACGTGAAAGATATATGCAGCAACAGTCTACTCAGATTTGTAGATGTGTCTAATTGTATCAGTAAGCAAGATTTATAAACTTACTTTACTGAGATGTGTGTTTATTTGTTTAAACAGTATATTGCTTACATTCTATCTCTCGTATGACCATGATTATTATTATTTATTTTATTTATATAGCGCACTACACTGCGTTGCAGAGCGCTTTCCGAAGTTAAAATGACAATAAAAATGGGATTAAAAAAAAAATTAAAATGACAATAAGATTACTGTATTGGTTAAAAATGAATGTTTTCAAGTGAATCTTAAAAGTAGCTGTTGATGACGGAAGAAAATCGTTCCATAAAATTGAGTCAATTATCTTTGCACTTGATTATAAGTCTACTTACATTTTGCTGTTGTAGGTGTGTGGATGTTTTCGGATCTGCACAGTTTGAGAGAGTTACAAATCAAATCAAGTCAGCTACTGAAATCCAGGTTTCCTGCAATTATTGTGCAAGAAGAGTTTCTCTTGCTTGAGAGCAACAAACTGATGGAAATCTTGGCATTTGATGACCTCAGTCTTGGTAAGTAACCCTACTCACAATGCATTTGTTCAGTATTTTAATATAGTTGATCAGGTTTATGCACAGTACCAATTCTAGATAGTCAAACCTGTGTTAGTGAACATTTCTGTATAATGATCAACTGTCTTTAGTAACCACTTACAGGTTATCTCAAGGCATAACATATGTGCAACTCATGTATAAGAACTACCTATCTCATGTGACCACTATTTTAGTAATATTTTTGCAGATTTGTCTTTGTTTAGGGACCAAAATAATAATCAGTATTCTGTTTATAAAGTTTTAATATTCTCAAGTCAAACTATCTCATTGTTTCCTAGACAAATATTATGTCAGATGTACGAGTTGGTGATCCATAAAAAAAAGAATCTAACCTTTATATGGATTTAATAGAAATAAAACTAATAAGACAATAGAACGTACAGAATACATCTAATATGGACAAATCATTCTTACAATCACATGAAAGATTTCAATTGCAACTGTGTTACTCAATAATTTGTAGCTCTTCAGTGTTTTGTAAATAACAAAGACATTCAGTGCTCTTAAAGATTACTTCAAATCAACAGCTGTTATGAATTAATTCTGTTTTAATTTGTGTTTGTCTGAATTGAACATTTTGTAAATTATTCATTCAGTTCTTTACGTAATACTGTTGATATCATTAGAAAACACTCTCAGACATCAGGAGATATTTTACTTGTAATTTTGCTGAAATTTAGTTTGATATCTTTTATACAGGAATAAAGAATGAAGACACTGTTTTGGAAGGCATTGTGAGATGGTTAGAACATGACCCTATATCAAGAATTCAAGATATTTCAGAATTATTGAAACTTGTCAGATTACATCTGGTATCCATGCCATATTTACAGACTGTCAGACAGCATAGTGTGGTCATAGACAATCATGGTAGGTTAGTATACTGCCCTCTAGTAGTAAACACTGCTCTCTAGTGTCATGTAACACAGATTACATCTGGTATCCATGCCATATTTACAGACTGTCAGACAGCATAGTGTGGTCATAGACAATCATGGTAGGTTAGTATACTGCCCTCTAGTAGTAAACACTGCCCTCTAGTGTCATGTAACACAGATTACATCTGGTATCCATGCCATATTTACAGACTGCCAGACAGCATAGTGTGGTCATAGACAATCATGGTAGGTTAGTATACTGCCCTCTAGTAGTAAACACTGCCCTCTAGTGTCATGTAACACAGATTACATCTGGTATCCATGCCATATTTACAGACTGTCTGACAGCATAGTGTGGTCATAGACAATCATGGTAGGTTAGTATACTGCCCTCTAGTAGTAAATCCTGCCCTCTGATGTCATGTATCAAATGAACATTGCATTTGGTGCAATTAAATTTCCATAAAATTAATTTAATAAAAAAATGTTTTTAAATGTTCATCATTTGATTATTTAATGGGAATAACTTAATTTCTCAAAATCTTACTGTCACTTTGTTTTATAACCAAAGTTATGATTTTCGCCTAGCAACATGACAATGTTTTACACTTTCTGTGACTTGCAGTGTAACATTTAACAATGTGCAACTTAATACACTGCAAATGCTACTAGTAAGTGAGTCCTTCAGAACAAGTGATTACTTGATTTATGCTAATTTATGCTCATTTAGTTAAATTTCTCACAATAGATTATTTTCCATCAACGTGAGTTCCCATGTTACGAGTGAAATCGAACATAAAAACAGGGTCAAAGATCATAGCACTAGAGTGACATCAATACATTGCGTAGATTCAACAAATACAAAAGTATTTTGCGGGATATTTCCATGCATAATAATGTGCTGTACACATTTGATGATGGTCAATTTTGATGAAGTAAAGGTATTCAAATGCAATATTCCCCTCTCAAGGATTGGTTTTTCCAACATTGAGCTATACAAAACTGGGCAGACTTTTGGCCTGTGTTTTCATACAATACACAAGATCAGTGATTATGAGGTCATCACAAGGATACCGCAAAGTACTAGTATGCATAAAGGGAGTTGAGCAATCATATCGTCATATGCAGATAGTGGAGATTGATGCTATCATGTACTTTAGAGTGCTTTCACATTTTGGTATTCTTGTGATAAACTTATTATTATATACTGCTGTTTCCTGCTTGTAATAACAATAATTTAATAAGATATAACAGCTTAAATTTACAATGAAATTATGTTGACCAGTGTGAATGTTTGCATTGTTAATTTCCACTAAATAGGTGAAATTTCAAACATTGGAGCATGTGCAAATACATTTCAAACAGATGCAAATACGGATTTAGCAAAATGCTGAATGCTATCGTTTTCAATGTTAGATATACAATAATTATGTTTTTTCACAAAATTTGTGAAATTAAAACAAAAACTTAAAGTATCTTATTAAAGCTCATCTCACCACGTATACATGAAATGTTGGTTCTATATTATCCAGGATGGCGACTTTGATTGTTGTACAAATCACAGTCCCTCAACTGGGGAGGGACTGTGTACAAATCAATGTATATAAAAAAGCAAAAATACACTGTCCAGATTTTAACTAGGTCATTTCTGGAATGATTAGAACGCATCAAAAAATCAGTCGGCGTTTAGTGCACATTGCAACAAGAACAAAAATCACTTTATTCCTTGTCACTGGAATAGTACCCGGTACATTAGATTGTTTATCAATGGCAATCTCACACATAGGTGGCAGATGACTACTTTTTTTTAATATTTTATGGTATATTTTTTATTAAATTTTCAGATGCTGTGTCATTGATTGATAATGCAATAGCCATAAAAGAAGACAAGTCACCACATAACTTGAAAGGGGCCAGACAACCATCGTCTTCTATTTATGTCTTGGGAGGATATTTACAGTCAAGAACAGGGTAAGTGTTTACAGTCAAGAACAGGGTAAATTAGGACCGGTAGTGGTCAATCATGCACTTGTTGTCAATCTGCTTAAACCCCAATTCTGACGACTAAGACTTTGATGATGTTCATGTGACATACTGTCTTAAATCTTTGGCTAAAATTTTGGTACATTTTCTGTAATTTTCACTGAATTCAATCTTACTTCTAGTTTCGATCCAAGAGTTTAATTTATTTCTTTAGTATTTTTGTATTTGCATGTTATGAGTGAACCACGATATCCCTAGATAAGAACAAAATAGAAAAACAATTCAAAACATTCTTGAAATATAATATATTCTGCAGACTTAAACACTGCTATAACAATTATGTTGCAATGTCTATTGGCCAAAGAAAACACATTTGAAATGTTGCATTTAGGAATAAGTTTATGCATTATTTACTACAAAAACACTCCATCACACACTCCTGTGTGTTTCACAAAAATAATTTTAAAGTGGTTTGCTGAAGATGTAGGTGATGTAGTAGAATGTGTGCATCATTGTATGCATACAGATTCCAGTACAAACAAATTTTGACAGTATTCCCGTATTTATGATCATGTTTCTTGTAAAATAGTGTGTTTCCGATAATGTGACTTTGCCAAGATTGTGCATGCCAATCCTGTATTTTTTATGGCCAAATTGACCAATGATGGGTGCTCAGTTTTTGTTTTGGCTGCTTACTAGATCAATTCTTCTTTGGGCACACGAAAATTACAGCCCTTGTATGTGCATTGCCATGTACATGTACATGCATCATGGAAATGCTGTATGTAACACTATGGACCATCATACCCGGCAGTGTCTTGTTGAAAACTATTGCAAGATTAATCAAAATATTAAATACAAATATGACAAAATATTATACCTATGTGTACCATATTTTTAGTCCTTGTTTAAGATAAGGTCCTCAGTCCGATACTATTAATTTGCATTCCGCCTGTCATATTCTTTCCTATTTATTAGAACAAAAAAAAAACTGATGACCATTTAGTTTCTCTATCTCTATGTGTGATTATATTACCACATGTTGTCAGTCTATGCACTTTCTGTAATAGTGCATAATATACAAATGATGTATGGAGTATTTTGGTAGACATGTGACTTGTACTGAACACTGAGATTGAGTCCGAAAAAACAACATGAAGGCTGTGCTGTGCATTATCAATTTTTGTTATTTTCAATGTTACCAGAAACACACTATTTATTTTCTGTGCGATTATAGTTCTGGAAAACTTTTATCTAATGAAAAACTATGCAAATCCTATTTCAGTGGAAACTGTCCTCACACATTATCCGTTGAGAAGTATGACATCAACAAGGACAAATGGACAGAAGTTGGAAAACTCCCCTTCAATTTGGAATGCCAGACGGCTGTTGTCTTGAATGGAGAAATGTTTTTTGTTCATAAGAAACTCATACAACCAAAACTTAAAATTCCAACATTTACCAATGTCGGTACAGTGTACACTTTATGTACGTTTAGCAGTCTGTATAATGAGTGGAAATTGAAGGAGATCAGTCAATACTCAGTGTGGGCACACCTCAGGGACTTCAAACAGTGTGCCATAGCTGTCTGTAAAGATGAAAATGTTGTTTATGTATGCGGTGGTAAGGAACCCACTCGAAGTTTGACGGCTAAGTCGGTATTGAGATTGGATATTGAGAATGATTGCTGGACTGAGCTGCCAAGCCTTCCAGAACTTAGGTCAGTTCATTTATCTTAATATATTTAAATAGATATATTTAGAACATGAGTCTATAACTGTAGCTGTACCAGCATGAAAAGAGAATTCAAAGTTTACTTGTCACACTTTTGATCCCTGCGTTTAGACACTTATGTATTGTTTATTTTTTCCAGTTCTGTTAATGGGTTTGCCCGTTAACTATGTGTTGAATAAATAAATGAAATAAATAAATTCCCTGTTCTGACTCATGTATTTAACATTACGGCTAATCAATTTATAGTTTTATGAAAGCCTTTAGATTTTTTTATACTCATAAAATGTTTATATTGCTTATTGTGATACAATAATATGTGGCAAACAATTAGGGTCACGGTCCAAATTGTGATACTGTAAAACACTTTGAAATAGCTACATGTTATTTTAGCAAATTTGACTCCATGCATGAATTAACTGAATCTTAATTTATCTAAAGTGCCAATAATCTCATTGTGAAGATATACTCTATTCTAATTAGCGACATCTTAATTTAGCGAAAATGTGGATTAGCTAAATTAGCTAAAATAACATGCTAGCTAAATAGACATGTTTTACAGTATTACATTTGTATTGTACTCAAATGACAGAGTTTATACATGAGACATTATAGGGAAAAAGTTAAACCAGACCCGCTCAATTAGAAAAAAAAATATTTTGATAACAAAATCATGTTAGACACTGTATTTTTAAATAACCAAAAAGAGAAATAAAAATCTGTACAACCCTATCACCATAGCTATCACCATTTGTACAAAAGCCCAACCCTATCACCATAGCTGTGTCTTGCAGGTTCAATCACAGTGCCATTGTTGTCAATAGAAGACTATATGTGATTGGTGGAAATGATATATCAGTTCATATTGGTAATCACAGACAGGAAGTGAAATCATCAGTTTTTATGTATGACCCGGATGAGGGATGTTGGTCGGAGAAATGTGAAATGAACACTCACAGATTGGGACTTGGATTGGCAGAGGTCGGTAAGTAACAAGTGACATTGAAGATGCTAGAGAACGATGAAAATTCAATATTCTTAACAATATATATTTGAAATCAATTCCTATCAGCAAAATCAGTTAACCATACTTTCTCTTATTCATATATAATACTAAGATATAATTTGTAATTTCTACCTGTTTGTTTAACATCTACTCTAGCACCAAATTTATATATCATATTCAAACAATGTCCTTTGTTTACATCTGACGCAGCATTGATATCACATTCAACAGAAATAGAACCACATTACTGAATGCCGGCAAATTATTGTGTAAAAATGGGTAAAATAAAATGAGGTGTTTTTTTTTTCGGAATTCAAATCAGTGAATTCAAATTACGCCTAAAAACAAACAAAAAAAGATACGGTACTGTTCTCACAAAAGTATTCACTCAGGCATCACAGGATCACAAAGACATCTGCTATGTGTTGGTCAATAGAAACAAGATATTGTTAAGAAACATGTCCATGCACAAACATTCACAAATTGATGATTTTGAATAAGGGTGAGTTAGCAAGAATAATATTGAGTGATATTTACTGAGTCAATAAACGTTTTCTCAAATGAAATTGAATTAAGTTACATTACGTTTCTTGTTGTATTTCTTTCCCATCCCATAATATCCTTCATAGATGGATTCATATATGCTGTTGGTGGAGGAAGTAGCATGTCCAGAGTGGATCTTGTTGAGCGGTATGACGCTAAAACAGACCGATGGACGTACGTCAAAAGCATGAACTATGCGCGTGCTTTTCACTGCACACTCTCCCATTGTGGACTGATATATGCCATTGGAGGTAAGAGTTAACAAACATTCACATTGTTTGGTTGTTGATTACAGGTGGATTTCTTTATGCAGTTGGTGGAGTGAGTAATGTTACACGTGAGCGGTCTGTTGAAAAGTATGACCCAGACACGGATTGTTGGAATTATGTCTGTGATATGAATAAACCTAGATCGTTTCTCAGTGTTGTGGCATGTCATGGTTTGTTGTATGCCATTGGAGGTGAGTTGTTCCACAGAGTGATCAACATATCTCTCGTCATATGTCAATATTTTAAACTGTACCCAAACTACTTTCTGAAAATCCATTGTTTTTTGAAAAACAAATAAAGGAACTAAAAATTAGAGCTACTTTACACATTGTCAGTATTAAAGATGTATAACTGCAGATTAAAAAAAAATAATAAAATCAGTGTCATCACGGCGGTTAATTGAAAATTTCGAAAATAAGACCAATTTAAACAACCTGATTTTGTTAGTATTGGTAATTGTGACCCAGCCGAAAAGTCCTTCAAAATGTGTCAGTGTGCCATTTCGGAACTGGTTAAACTGACTAAACTTCCAATCTCAATACATCTACTGTGGCTAAGTTATTGGTTATCATATCAAAAAAAACAAAATAAAAGTACGGTATGCCATTATTTGCTACCCAATCATTTACATAAATTTAGGGTGATTACATTTGTGATGGGTTGGGTGATACAAACTCCCAATAGTATTGGAAAACGTCTTGAGCCTTTGATTATCATAGTCTTACATTACTTTTTTTTCAAAAGGCAAATCATATTCCGGTGATTGTGGTGGGGCTCGTACAGTTGTGAGGAGTGGCGAAGTTTATAATCCTGCAACAGACACATGGACTATGATAGACTCTATGAAGACACCAAGATGTATGATGTCAGCATGTGTTTTATGATGTCATCACTCTGAATACTGTCACATGGACTATGATAGAATGCACCACAATGTATGATGTCAGCATGTGTTTTATGATGTCATCACTCTGAATACTGTCACATGAACTATGATAGACTGCACCACAATGTATGATGTCAGCATGTGTTTTATGATGTCATCACTCTGAATACTGTCACATGTACTATGATAGACAACATCACAATATATTCTGTTAATATAGATGTACAAGAACACTGCCAATTAGTCATAGTGTTAACACTACTCTGACTTTTACTACTTTTTAAACAGACTTTTCTCGGTTCCTCCGGGCCAAACACAATTGAAACAATTAAGTCTCATTTGCATTAATGAAAATAATTCTTGTATGAATAAAGTAGAAACTAATATATATGAACTCGTGCTTGAAAGACTGGCAAAAGGTCAAAGTGCATAAATAAAATTCTAAAACAAATGCATGTGCCACATTTGTACAAGATGTAAAGTGCAAACACAAAATCCAAAATAGCTTATATACATTAAATAGTTGCCAATGGTTTGCAGAAAAAACAGAGTTGTTTGGTTTAAGTCTTGCTCAGAGGGGCCACTCAGGTACTGAACCTTTAAGGAAAAAATTTAACCCATAATTATGTGTAATATCTTTTGCTGGCTACATTATGTGTTTAGGAAAATAAATTGCTGATTTCAAAATATCTAACATTCTCCCCAAGTAATTTTTTATGAAAAAGATAAAAAAAAATGTTTTTATAATACCTGCGGCATGTATTCTTCATTTATTTCATTCATTATACTGCAAGCACTGCTTTTATCGTATCCAATAGTATGTTTAAACGGTAGTTATTTTACATTTAACAAAACATACTTCTGGTTGAAATTTAAGCCTCATTTTCAACGTTGTGGTTACCCATGTTTCAGTCACATTTTTGCTGAAAACTGATATTGGAATACAAAAGCTGGTTGATGTGAGACTGAACCCCTACCGTGACCATGGTCTCCCATGCAAGTATTTGCACGACCAAACAAGCTTAACATTTTCCTGCTGGCCGATCACATGACCAGTCTTCTATGGTGGTTCGCTGAATTAGAATCTAATTGGTAGCTATTTATTGTTTGAAAATGTTTCAAAATTGGTATTGCTTGCACACTTGTATGTTTTGTATATGACCTATGACCAAACAAATCTACCAACTTTGCAATCGCTTTTACACAACTTTGTATGCTATTTAACAATATACGTACAGTTCTTGTGGCCGTCTGTTAATATATGGCTTTCACTCAACTTTTGAGTATTTTTGCAAACTTTTAACTATGGGGTCCGATACGATAACCTCTTGTATACAATTTCAAATCGAATCTACCAACTTTTCAATCGTTTTTCACAACTTTGCACTCTGGTAATCTTGGTGGGCTTTTATTCGATTTTTAATTAGTTTTTCTAACTTTTGACTTTGTGTTTTTGTAGAACAACCACTTAGGTCAAATTTGCAAACAAAACTACCAACTTTTCAACACATTAGAACCCATTGCAGACTACAATCGATACTTTTTTCATTGAAATGTTGTGCAAATTTCTTTTGAAGGCATTTTTTATGATTTTCTACAAAAACCTTCGTGATCAGTCACAAAGAACACACAATAAACTGAAATATGTAAATTCAATGTGCTTGACAAAATTCAAAATAATTAGTTCAGTGATTTGCTCAGATGGTCCCCCAGAAATCCATTTGCAAAGAAAATTGGTTATTTCAATACTAGTAATTTTGTTAAATCAGTAGAGATGCATTATATTACCGGTGTGAAATCATTAACTTGCTTGTCTGATGGCCACTACTCTAGTAAAATAAAGTTCAAATTCAAATCACACTAATAAATATCTTTATTTATCAAGCCTTGCGTACTATTAGTGATAAAACCATATAACATTCTGAATAGTGCAAACAAACAAAACATATTAAAATACTACTCTCCACTCAGTTTATGTTGCCTGTAATCAGACAAACTGAAGCAGAAATTAAGTTTGAAAAGACATCACACTATAAATATTGCACTGTTATTAATATAAACAGGATCAGTTTGGATTATCAGATATCTCCAATAACACGCTTTTAAGTGATTGTTTCTTAATTATACCACAAAAAAATGATATAAAATTGAAAGATTTTTTAATTTACATAAATACAAATGATGTATTGTATGATTTGCATTTGCTCATAAATAATGCAAATCACAAATGATACTGTTTTTCACCAGAACCTCCAATGGAAATTGCTCTAGCTCAGTTGTTAAAGGCTCTGCCTGCTGCAGTCTTTGATGTGGGTTATAACACTTTCCTGTTTCAGTAGTTGAGGAAGAACTGTCCTCGTCAACTCTAGACATTGCCCCTTGACTAAAGCTGCACAGTCTTGGCCTAGTTGAACAGTCTGATTTACAATAGCGGTTTACAAACTATGTTACAGTTATGTAGCCAAGACAATTTATGTACTATTACCTATAGCAGATATGACATTCTGCAAATGAACACAAGTGTGACCAGTTTACATTTGTTATAAAAACAAAAGGTTTACCAAACCAATGGCCATAACTATTAGGTCACATGACAAAGAGTTGTATAATTAATACAATTGCACATAATCGAAAAAATCTATGAAAACAAATATTGTACAAATAATATCACCAGAGACAATAAAATTAACAAAGGTTTTCTGTTGACACCAAGATTTCTGTAAAAAGAACATATCAGGATACAGGGAATCTAATAATAAATCTCGCCTCCAATATTTACTTCTAAAATATGAAAAAAAAAAAAAAAAAACAGAAATAAAAACAAATATATAGTACTGGTATGGTGAATTCTAGTAAACATGTACTGTGTGCATGAATCCAAGTTATACAAATTTACACCACCAAATCTATCTAAGCTGTCCATTAAAACAATATGGCAGGGAATTCATTGACAATTCAGAATCTTTTCATCCAATCTTGCCACAGAAACCACACTGCATATGACAGGGACATGTGACGTATCTTTTTATCATAATGGCATTTAAATGTCCAACTAGACAAGGGCATGTAAATCTTAGTATTGTTTTAACAGTTAAATCCCAGAGTATGAATCTTCTCATCAAGTAATAGTATGCGGCATACACACCATTTTCTTCAAGTGTAAGATTTCAGCTAAGGACTGACTGACAGATTGGTAACAACATCCAGTTACAAATGATCTGTGTTACAACAACCCTTTCACTTTGGTGTGCACCCACCTTTTCAGAATTTGGTAGCTTTTTTTCAATTTAAAAAAAAGATCACTTGTTTTATACAATACACATTTTCTAAAATACTGTTATATTAGTAAAGCACCAACATTTGCATGAATTAAATGTACAAGGGTGAAATGAAAAGTGAATGTATATACAGTGGACAGATTTAATTTCACAACAGACATTTTTCACATGAATTATAATTAGCAGTGAATCACATAAATCACTATGGAGAAATTTCATCCACAGAATGTCTGTAGTTCGGCAAATAAACATTTCCAGAAGTGGAAATTCTAATGCTTATTGTATACAAGTTAATATTATAATGCGTGTTTCAGGATTCAAAGTTATCAATTTAAGGTAGTTTCTTACAAGGTGAAACATCACATTAGGAATACGTTACATTTATTATTATATATTAGTGTTGAAGATGGACATGACTAACTAGTTGAGGTTATGCTCATGAGTTTCAATCAATAATCTTTTATTGAATACACTTTACTGTGCCAAAGATCGCACCATTTTACCCAACAAATAACATAGCGTAACTATTACAACCTTGCCAATCTAGATGTCAATACCACATCACCTGATGAGACTGCTTTTTCTCAATCATTCAGCTTCCTATGGAGGCTTTCAGCAGGCGTTGCGATAAATGTCAAAAGAGAATTCAGGATTGATACAAAATAACATCGTCCGAATCACACAGTCCTGTGTCTTCGACCTATAGGCCTCTACACGATACCAAGCGAGATCGCATAGGCTAATTGCGTATCTTAAGCAGTGAGATCTGATTGGGCGCGCCTCGAAACAAGGCGCCCAATCAGCTTGAACATACCAAATTATAAAACAAAATTCCACTTCCTGTTTTTGTCGCTATGAAGACATCCTTCCCACACAAAACTGCGTCAATTGCCTGTACCCGATGAGGCTTGAGGGCACCAACACCGAAAACTTTCGCAATTTTATCATCACAAATATCACGATTCATGGGCGCCGCCATTTTGTTTAAAATGAAACGCCAAAGAGGGATTGCAAACAGATTGGACAATGATTAGCCGCAACTGACTACTGGGGACGCTGTTAGAATACGCATATTTCTGCCAAGGTCTGTTTAGAGGCTTTGCCGAATAAACTTAGTGAAGATGACAAAATAATCATGCACTTGCTTTCTGGGAAAATTTCTCAAGAACAAAAGTAAGAATAAAAGTTCTATTCAAACAATATTTTGCACAGGTAATACTGGCTAAACTTTTGATAAGAACCATTCTGACCAATAGTACATATATGACAATGTAGCAGTAGTGTAAATGCTGGTATCCTAAAAAGGTCATTATAATTACATTAAATTAATTGATATTCATTTTCTATGATTAATACAACACGTACTGTATTAATCTCCATGTCCCTTAAAAAGCTATATAACATCAATTGTAAAAAAGGTTCCCAAATTGTAAAGAAATTCATCTAAGCAAAAATTTGGCAGTAGAAATACTGGCCACTGTTTTGGCGAGAAATATACTAATCAACTGTTAGTGCCGAAAATAATTTACACAAGAAAAACAACATATCCTTGAATATTTTATTTTAACCAAATGCACTGAGGTATATATTCAAACACTAATTTCATAGTTTTGTCTTTGGATTTTCAAATAATCAGTCACAAGGAATAATTTCTCAAAATGTCAAGAAATAAGCTGCGTCCAGCAATATAATTGATAGTTTTATATATGGTTGATTAAATCATTTTTGGTCTTAATATGTCTACATCTGAGTAAAGCACATTTTTGACTGTCCTCGTCTGTTTATGACTCATAATCTGGGCATTTGCTACTAACAGTTTAATACATTTTTCAAAA